ACACACTTGTGTGGCTTTGGATAGGTCCTAAATAGGATAATTAATTCAAGTTGCCTAAGGTTAGAGTTTGTTGTAGGCCAAAAAAATTTTAATTAAAGTTTAAATATTAATGAATTAGGATAAGTTTTAGTTTGTTTAGTTTGTGGGTCTATTTTAATGCTTAGAGTAGTCATCTTAGAAGTTTAAATTATATTAGTATATTTTGGAAGGTACTGAATCCTCCTATGTGCTAGGTTAAGGGAGTCCAAAAGGTCACTATTAGAAACATGTTAGATTTTGGAGTTCTAATATTTTAGTTAAATATTAGGGCTTACAAGGAGTATTTAGGCTTTGAATTTGTTGGATTTGGAGTTTTCTAGGCAAAGATATAAATTTTTGAAGTTTTAGGCAATTACTGAATTATTAAAATTGTTTAATAAAGGGGCATTTTAGGGTTTTGCTCCAAATCAAATCAAAACTGATTAGAATCACCCTCAAAGGTCATAAATGACCTAAAATAGTATCCCCAAGTGTTTGGAGAAAATTTTGAATTTTTAATAATTTTTAATTATTTATTAAGGGTAAAAAGGTGATTTTTAATTAAAGTTAATTTAAGGCTCATATTAAAGTTCAATTAAAGAGCCCTAATTATCTAAGGTTAAGGGCTAAATTTTGAAGAGTTTGAGGTATTATAGGTAATTTTCTAAAGTTTTTGGGGCCTAATTAATGGGTTAAATTAGGGTTTGTTAATTAAGGGTTTAAAAGATCCTAAAATTTTCTAAAAACTTTTGGGAGGTTTAAGATGTCACTAAGTTTAAGTTTTGAAAGTTTCATATCAATAAGTTATGTATCCTAGCTCCTAGAATTTTTTTAAATTCATTAGATGGATCCTTAATTATTGTCCTTAGAGTGTCGCTACGTTAAGAGGGTTTAAAATCAAGTGTTTTAGACCAACCCTTAAGAAAAATGCAAGGAGTACATAGAACAGAAAATACACCAATTCACAGGATCTAGGAGGGCCTAAACTAGATGCTCATGTGTCCTAAACATGCAAAAGATAATAACAACACCAATAAAACAAGTTTATCGGTGTGATTGGTGGATGATTGGTACTCAACCATCCAATAATCTTTCCCCCATGAATGTTATTCATGTGTGATCAATGCTTAAAATTTTATAAAGTGAATCTCCCAAAATTAGGGATTTAATAATATACGTAATTTTAAAACTACTTAAAATACATATATTATTAATAAATAAATGTATAAGTTTAAAATATGATAATTAAAAAAAAATTTCATATTTATATTTATGGAAGATCCACTAGCCACCCAAAGGAGTTACAAAATAATTTTAAAATAATTTATAATTTCAAATTAATTAATATAATAATTATTTAAATAATAACTAAATAATTAATTATTTAAATAATGTAAAAAATATGATAGAAAAAACATTTTATATCTAAAAATATCTTTAAATTAAAATTCATAATTTTCTAAAAAGAACAAGGTATTATACGTCAAAATCAGATTTAAAATAAAATTACTATGAATTTTTGAAATTTAATATATTAAAAAAAATTTATTAAAAATATGATAAAAATATTAATCGGTTTAAAATAAATTTAAAGCTTCTGAAACTTTGAATAATTTAAAATATAATTTTTATAATTTAGGAAAATATTGAATAAATTATTAATTAAGCATATTAAGTAATTAATAAATTAGAATAATTCAAATAGGAAATAATTATTATTTTAAGTTAATAAAATAGTTTCCTGATTTTTAAAATAATTAAAAAAATTTATTTATAACTTTAAAAATAATAAATTTAATTAATTAATTATTAATTAAATAATTTAATTATATATTAATTAAATAGTTTAGAATAGGGAATATATTTATTAATTTAAATTAGCTAATTAAAATAATACTCTAATTTTTAAAATAAATGACATATAATATAAAATAATATATTAATAATAAAATAATAATAAATTAAAATGATAAATTAATTATAAATTTAAAGTAAATTATTTTTAAATAAAAGGAAATAATTTTCTAAAAGCTTTGATATATAATACCTATATTTTTAATAAAAAAATTATAATAATTATTTAAATAAAATATGATTTAAAAAATAATTTAAAATTAATTTAAATTAAAATCGTCGACGTCAATTGAGTGGGACACATGGCATCGTCGAGTTGGCGGGAAAAAAATGCAGAGGCGGTGGGCAATCATTGTCAATGATTGCACCGCACCGCAATCATTAGCATATGATTAATGGTGGCAGTCCCACTCACTTTCTACTAATCCGAGTCAGCGTGTTGGGGCAACCGTCCGATCTTCCACTGTCCGGGACGGACGACTGTGATGTCGTCGTATGGCGGTGCGAAAGATTTACACAAGCCACACAGTTATGATCAACGGTGGAACAACGAGATCTCGGTCGTTGATCAAAAGATCAACGGCGAAGATCTCGTACTTCTAAGACAGATTATCGCAGATGCCCTAGAGACAAATAAATGCCTTGTTTGATCGATATGATCGATCAAATGAGTTTAAATTTTAAACCTAGGATCCTTGTATGAAGAGCATTAATGGGGTAGTAACATCGCATCCTAAAATGCACTTTTAACAAAAGTTATTTAACCCTATGTGTAGTTACCTAGGTCTAGGGATTTAAGGAGATTTAACCGTTGGATCTTCACGATCTTGGTACAGTTGAGCTTGTAGATTGTCCTCGAATGTTTCCCTAGTTGATCTCAAGCCTTGATTCGCCTTGAATCGAGCTAAGGAGGCTTTGGAACATAAATCGTGTCGGTTCACCGGAGATTTGGCAGTCGGTGAGGTCTTGGCGGCGGGTATGACTAGGGAAAAGTGAGGAAAGGTGGGGAGAGCTCTTACACAAATTCTTAGGGGCTGAGAGCAGCTAACAAGAGAATAATTGCAAAAGTCCATGTAAAGGAGGTCTAAGGTCTCTATTTATAGTTCTATCCTAGGATCAATGACTAGGATTCGATCTAGGGTTCGATTAAGAGGGAATTAGGTTCAAATAGGATGGGATTTGGCATTGGAGAGGATTTGGAATGATTTCCAGGCTTTAAATGGGTTTAATTTGGCTTTAATAGGTCAAATAAACCTAATTAGGGCTTTGGTTTGGCCAAGTCAAGGTTTGACTTGGTCTACCTAGTCAATTAGGTAAAGGAGAATGAAAGTTTGAGCCAAAGAAAGGTTTGAATGGATTTGAAATTGATTTAGACCCATCTAGGTTAATTGGGTCAACCAAGTTGACCCAGGGCCTGGGTCTGGGCTCCACATACTAAGTTTGATCCAGTAAACACAAGGGAGATGGTCTTGGGGCTTAGCTTGGTCAGTTTCACCAAGTCAACACCTTTGTCCCAGAATTGGAGAAAAATAGGGTCAACAGCGTCATACAAATTGGCACATTCACCCTGCATGCCTGCCAAGTCAGCCGAACTAAATTTTGCAAAACTATAGTAATGAGCCATACTAAATGATGCATTCAATGGAATGCGCCAAACAATGAGTCATACTAAAAAACATATCCAATGCAATGCGCCCACTAAACTATTTGGCTTATTCTAAACATATCAAACATTTAGGTGGATTAAATGGAATGCGCCATACTATTTGACTAATTTTCTTTTTTCAAATTTTTTACTATCCTAATCTTGCTTGAGGCTTCTATTTGCTCCTTTTGAAAATTTACCCAATTAAAACGTTTACACTGATTAAAAAAAAAAATAGAACTTAAAATGATGAGCCTAATGATCCATCCGGCAATCTTCTCGAACTACTCAAAGATCCTGCAGATGTTCGACGAAACGCCCCACTGGCAAATATGGAGAAATGGAAGAACATGCTCAATAATTCCTCCAAAAAAAAAAGCCACTCCACATGGCCTCCCATCTTCTTCCGTCTATTCCTCTATCTCCTTAATTTACTGATAAACTAAAAGGCCATATCCATGAGAGCCATGTGAGCTAAGGTTAATGAAGTTTGAAAACTTAATGGTTGGTGGCCGCATCTCCATCATTGCATATGGCTTCCTCTCTCTCTCTCTCTCTCTCTCTCTCTCTCTCTCAAACCTTCATATTAGCCTGTCATTACATATAAATATATATTTTAATAAAAGAGGGGGTTGTAAGGTTTTCTCATTATGATCACATGGAAAGATTCTGTGGCAGCCAACTATCCTCTTAATTATGCTTTGCAATTTGTAGTTTTGTTGTGATAATGGCGAAGTTGATTAGTTATCATATTTCACAGTAATCTTATGACAGCACTGCATTTGTTTCTTCTCTTAATTATTTCTTAAAAAAGGTTTATATATTGAGCTCTTCTTTTGATCAAGTTTTGAGTAAATGTATTGCTAATGATTTATTTTGAGAATTAAGAGCTGCTGATAGTTTTGTTTTTTTTCATTGGTATTTCCTTCTGGGCTTGCATTTGCGCCGTAGAAATCAGTTTATTAACTATTACTGTTTGAATTCTGCTCTGCAACTATTTCTTTTTCTAAGAAGATAATCAGATCAAAGCGGAAAGGCAATTATCAAAGAGCTCGATCGGTAAGAAATTTACATTCAAGGTATAAATGCACATGTTCTGTGTATATATCGAATTTTTTATATTAAGATCGATACACTTAAGTTCGACACGTCGCATCTGTTGGTAGCCATGGGAAGTAAAATTCAACGGTATGGTATATCCCAGTTTACGTGAACTCTCGCTAGTGTGATTAATCTCTGTTGGCCCATTAACCGTTGAGGACAAAAGAATATAATGATTAATATATTCATAAATAATTAAAGTAAAAACAATTATAACAAAATAGAGAATATTTAAACAATCACCTTGTTAACTTTAATATAAAATCTCCTACTTCCCATCACATTCCACCGTCCACAGCGCTTGAAATCCAGCGAATGAACCTACAACAAACATAATGGAATAGAATCAGTGATATGTTGAAGGAAGAAGATGAAGAGGAAGATGGGAATCACAACGAGAAAATTTTTTTTTCTCCTCTTCTTCTTCGCATTCGTCTCTTCTTATGCCAATCTAATTGTCGACGAAGTATCGGCTCTCCTAGCAGTAAAATCAGGCCTTGTAGACCCCTTGAACGCCCTCAGAGATTGGAAGATCGCCACCGCGACGGCTGCAGGAGGCCACTGCAGCTTAACCGGCGTCCAATGCAATGCCCAAGGATTCGTCGAAAGACTCGATCTTTCCCATTTGAATCTCAGCGGCGTCATCTCCTTCGATAACTTCCGAAACCTCCCCGCCCTCACCCACCTCAATCTCTGCTGCAATTCCTTCGCCGGCTTTCTCCCGGAAATCTTACCAGTCCTTGCGGAGCTCCACGAGCTCGATATCAGCGACAACGACTTTGCTGGCATCTTCCCGGTAGGCTTCGGCTCCCTCCCGAGACTGAAAACTCTTAACGTATCCGGGAACAATTTCGCCGGCATTCTCCCCGCCGACGTCGGCAATGCTTCCCTGCTTGAAACCCTCGATCTCCGCGGCTGCTTCTTCACCGGCACAATTCCGGAATCCTATAAGAATCTGCAAAAGCTTAAATTTTTAGGCCTCTCCGGCAACAACCTCACCGGCGCGCTCCCCTCGGAGCTTGGCCAGTTGGCCAATCTTGAAACGCTTATAATCGGATACAATGGATTTGTAGGGAATATTCCAGCGGAATTCGGCAATCTCACCAATCTCCGCTACTTTGACATGGCGGTCGGAAGCCTGAGCGGTCCTATTCCGGCGGAACTAGGGAAGCTGTCACTTCTCTCTATTGTTTACTTATACAGGAATAATCTTCAAGGTGAAATCCCAAAAGAGATTGGCAACATCTCATCTCTCCTCTCCCTCGACCTCTCCGACAACTTAATCTCCGGCAAGATTCCGCAGGAATTAGTCAAATTGACAAATCTCCAGCTTCTGAATCTTATGTGCAATAAGCTCGAAGGCTCCCTGCCATCAGGTTTTGGCGACCTGCCTCAACTTCAAATTCTTGAGCTTTGGAATAATTCACTCACGGGACCACTCCCATCCAATCTAGGCCGGAAGTCCTTATTACAGTGGCTCGACGTTTCATCCAATTCCTTTTCCGGGGAAATTCCTGAAAGCGTTTGTTACGGCGGCAGCCTCACAAAGCTCATTCTTTTCAATAACAATTTCTCTGGCCCGATCCCTGCTGGCTTATCGACATGCCAAAGCCTAGTCAGAGTCAGAATACAGAACAACCGGATCAATGGAACAGTGCCGGCGGGGTTAGGACAGTTGCCGCGGCTGCAGAGACTCGAGATAGCAGACAACGAATTCTCCGGCGAAATCCCCGAAGATTTGTCATCTTCGAATTCACTATCTTTCATAGATTTCTCCGGTAACCGTCTCCAGCTTTCTCTTCCCGCCAACATCCTCTCCATTCCAACACTTCAAATATTCGTTGCTTCTGGCAACGAGCTCGCCGGTCAGATCCCGAGCGATGTTGAGGGCTGCTCTGCTCTCGGCACTCTCGATCTCTCCAGAAATCGTCTCGCCGGAATAATACCAGCTAGCTTAACGAGTTGCCAAAGATTAATAAATCTCAACCTCAGCGATAACGAGCTCACCGGCGAAATCCCAAAGGCCATCGCTTTGATGCCCACACTAGCCATTCTCGATCTCTCACACAATTCACTCACCGGCTCCCTCCCTCAGAACATGGGCTCTTCACCTTCTCTAGAGACACTAAACATCTCATATAACAAACTCTCCGGAAAGGTCCCGGCGAACGGCATCCTCCGAACGATGAACCCAGATGACCTTGCTGGCAACCCAGACCTCTGCGGCGGCGTTCTCCCCACCTGCTCTGAGAATTACCCCGTACCAGAGAGCTTGATGAGACCAAGTTCACATATCAAACACATTGTAACATGGTGGTTAGTTTCAATTTCCGCTATTTTAGCCACCGCCGGCGGATTTGTCTTAGCTCGACGGCTTTACGCTAGATGGTACATCGGTACATCATGCTGCCCTGACCGATTTGACGAAGACCTCACTAGCGGCGGCGGCGGCGCTTGGCCCTGGCGGCTCACCGCCTTCCAGCGCCTCAACTTCACCACCGCCGACGTGCTCGCCTGTATCAAAGATTCCAATGTTGTCGGAATGGGCGCTACCGGCATCGTCTACAAAGCTGAGATTCAGCGCCACCATGCCGTCATCGCCGTAAAGAAACTATGGCGTTCGGCCGCAGTCGGCCGTGGTGACGACGCCGGCGAATTCGTCGGAGAAGTGAACCTCTTGGGAAGGCTGCGTCACCGGAACATCGTTCGAATGCTCGGGTATCTCTACAACGACACCGAGACCATGCTTTTATACGAGTATATGCCAAACGGAAGCTTATGGGAGGCGCTACACGGCGAGGCTGTGGCGGAGGCCGGCGTGCTCGTGGATTGGGTTTCGAGGTACAATGTGGCGGCCGGTGTGGCGCAGGGACTTGCTTATCTGCACCATGACTGCCACCCGCCGGTCATCCACCGCGACGTTAAGTCGAGCAACATATTGCTTGATGTTAACTTAGACGCGAGAATTGCTGACTTTGGCCTCGCGAGGACGTTACTGAGGAAGAACGAGACGGTCTCCACCATCGCCGGATCGTACGGCTACATCGCCCCAGGTGAGTCATAATAAAAAAAATAATTATAATTTATATTATTTTTACCCATTTGATTATATTTTTATTTGCTTGTTTAATGTGGTGAGTAAAAGTATTTATATATAAAAAGTTATGCAAATTTTTTTTTTTTTTGGGAAAACAAGTTATGCAAATTAAAAATGTTGATTTATAGGTGATTTGAAACCTTGAAATTTGATCAATTTTGTTATTTTATGAAATATTTTATTTTCTATTTCAAAGAATTAAATGAGTGCTTATTTTTATTAATTTTGTTAAAAGGGACTTGATTCAAATTAGACATGAATTGTAATCATCGCTCTGATTAAGTTAGACAAAATTATCCTGATTTTTTACAGGTAAAAAAGCAATTCTGCATTTGCATTGAAAAAAAAAATTTATCAGAATATTTTTGATTAATTTTTTTTACAATGAAGTATTTTAAATTTAATTGAAAGTAATATAATATATAATTTAATAGTTTATTCATGAATTCTATTAATTTCAATAAAATAAAAATATATTTAAATCAATTTTTTATCAAAATAATTAGACTCATAATTTCTTCATCATAAGCAGAAAGGACGAATTCTTCACATAAAAAATTACCCAATAAAAAAAATAGAATATCTTAATAAAAAATAGACAAGAATTTTAAAGTTATTAGACCTATTCTGAGATAGATAAATTACATAAATAATTTATATTATATTCATCGCAAAGAAAATTTAAGAATTTTAAAATTAATCCCCATTAAAAAAAAAAGATTTTTGATTTTCAGCACACTTATTTTGCAGCACACTTATTTTCTGATATTTGATTTTCGAATAAGGCCCCTCTCCAATTATAGGATAATATAATTACAAATTATAAGTTTATTATAGGAGAAAATTGATTTAAAAAAAATAAAAATAAATAATATGACTCTTTTGCCAACATTTCTGCTCGTCGTTCTAATTACTTAGTTTGATCAAAATCTTTTTTTTTTTTTTTTTTAAGTTTATCTATCAAATCTTCACAAAATATTCCTTGACGCTCCTTGATTGTCTCAGAATACGGATATACAATGAAAGTAGATCAAAAGGGCGACATTTACAGCTTCGGCGTGGTATTAATGGAGCTGATAACAGGGAGAAAACCTATAGAAGCAGAGTTCGGCGAAGATCAAGACATAGTTGGCTGGGTCATGGACAGACTAAGAACCGACCGACCGCCGGCCGTCGAGCTTCTTGACCGGAGTATTGCTGGAAAATGCAAGCACGTTCAGGAAGAGATGCTTCTCCTTCTGAGAATTGCCCTTCTTTGCACAGCCCGGTCGCCCAAAGACCGCCCGTCGATGAGAAACGTCCTGACAATGCTCACCGAGGCAAAACCTCGCCGGAAAAGCAACAGCGCCAGTGGAGTCACTGGTCTCCCATTTGTTGCGGGGAAGGATGTTAGGCCGGTGTTCATGGCCACGCCGCCGGATTCTGAATATGTATGATTGCTTGCTGCTGGCTGGAATCCTTTCCTTAATCATTTTGTTCATATGTTTGTTGTGTATTTAAAATTAATTCCTCGTTTCTTGTTTGAATTTTGGAAATTTAAAGGGAGAATTCATGTGGAGGATTTACAAAGGGCAATCAGGCAATGGTAATGGATTATTATTGATTAATTTTTGTTAATTATATTGTGGGTCAATGCTCCAAATATTTAATAATCTGATCCTCTAGCATGATCTCATTGATCTTTGGGTGGTTTTCATTTTACCCCTGCTGCTTGTTGATTTTTAACGATTGCACAATGTAATATTTGATTGTCGTAAGACTAATTATAGAGTAGTTGAAGGAATTAAGGAAAAGTCAGTCATAGGAATTTATCAGATACCAGCCATGAACTTAAAGTTGTGTTAGCCGCCGTTCAATGAAAAATCGTAAGGATATAAATTTGCTATTTTTCTTCTTTTTTTTTTAATATATAAGCATAAAACTCCAGTGAAGTTGGCAATTTAGATTTCAACACAGTTTTAAGTTGGCTATGATTAGGGGTGTAAACTATTCAAGTCGGGCTTGAGTCACCTCTAACTCAAGCTTGACTCGCCTATTCTAAGATAGGCTCAAACTCGAGCTTAGCTAGCTAGAGGAATAGTTGGGTTGAGTTTGGATCATATGTTAGTACCAAAATCATGATTCACTAGAGAAGTCAATGTAGTTGCTATTGTTATAAAATCAAATTCATTCGAATCAAATCTGATAAGGCAAAAATATACATTTAAAAAAATTTCTAAAATATTAGGAATTATATAAAATAATGTTTTAAGACTTTTAATGTAATACATGAATATTTTTAGACGTCAAAATAAATTTTGAGGTAGAAAAAAATCATTGTATTTTTAAAATCGCCCAAAAAAAATTTCAAATAAATACTCAAAATGCTCATAATCATGATCTCTATAACATACAAAAGTTATGCGATGAAAGTTTTGTCAATACAAAGTTATTTACATTTTTCATAACGAAAACAAAAATTTGAGTGAAAAAATACCAAAAACAAAATCGTTGAAATCGAAGATAGGATGTGGATTGCTTACAGCAAGTCGAGTAATTATCCCGATAGGCTAGACAAACAAAAATTGCACTACAACCTTCAAATCTTAGGTTTTCTTTTCTCTCTCCTCATTTCTCTCTCTTAAAATATCAAACCATTTCTCTATTATATGAAATCAATGTTAAGATAGTTGCTATTTGCATGCTTTATATTTTTGATACTTATGTAGTTTTGATGATTCTAAAAATTATTGTTCAAATGTGTAGTTATCTCCTAACAATTTTAGAAGAATTGTATTTGTTCTTGTGTGTACTAACATTTCAGGAAAAATGAACTCCAGACTACGAAGACTTCAAATCAAATTCAGCATAAGATACTTTGTAAAATTTGAAGCTTGCACTTTTCTTTTAAATTAAATTAAAAAGGAGTGATTGTAATTTGAGTGAAAAAAAACATACGCACACACACATAAGGAGATCATATAAAATTTATACTGATCGTACGGGACGATATCAGTTCGTACTGGACGATCAGACAGTTATCTCCTATTGAGCACATGGAACGAATAGGAACTTACTTGAAAATTTTTTTCTAAGTCCTATTCGTCCAGGACGAAATTAAAAATCGTCCAGGACGATCGGTCCTCTGTAAAATTTTTGTCCAGACGAAATTAAATTATCGTTCATGGCGATTGGTCCTCTGGAAAATTTTCGTCCAGACAAAATTAAATATCGTCCAGGACGATCTGGCCTCTGGAAAATTTTCGTCCAGACGAAATAAAATTATCGTACATGGCGATTGGTCCTCTGTAAAATTTTCGTCCAGGATGAAATTAAACATCGTCCAGGACGATTGGTTCTCTGTAAAAATTTTGTCCAGACGAACAAATTTTTGTCCAAACGATTAACCGACTTAGAACAATTTTCAACAGTTTCTAGAATCGACCTTGTAATAACCGTTCGTATCGGACGAACCTAGTTCCTACGGGACGATCAGTTGTACGAAGACATTTCATACACATACAAATAGGGTCGTTTCAAATCGTTTAAGTAAAATCGTCCAGGATGATCCACGATCGTACGGGACGATCCACAGCGTACAGAATTGAAAACTTGCAGTTTTTGGGCGGTTTTCTTGTCTTTTCTATAAATAGTCCAAATTAGACTGCCACCCAATCTTTTTATCATTTGATCTTCGTGCCTCTTGAGAGAATAGCCAAGGAGAGAGTGGAAGAGAGCATTCAAGGGAGGATTCCTACCACTGAAGCAAGAAGGCTTCACTTGGATTTCAAAGGTAAGAGTCTCTACTTGTGAATTGAGATTACTTCACTCTTTTCCTTCTTCCTTCTAGATTTTTGTGAAAAGATCTGTCAAGGAGATCCAGTTCTCTGCCGACACTTGGAGAGTGTGAATATAATGTGTTATTGTATTATTCTTAGAATTTATTTGTAACAGTCATATCGTATATTATATATAAATCATGTCATGTCATATTATTTATGCAATCTATCGTATATACTTCTATCATATGCATATGTAAGCAATAGAATCACTGTAAGAAAGATAGGACACCTGATTACCTGTGGTGTTGTTAAGTATAAATTTTGTAGTATTTTACTATCTTAAATATCAATAAAAATGATATTTTTAGTAGATCTTATATAGGAAATGCTAAAAAAATGAGTAAAATTCATAAGTGTTGAACCAGCACTGTAGCGCTCCAACTATCAGCACTATAACATTTACAATACCTCAGCGCTAGATTATGAAATCACAACATCAGAGCCTTAAGAAAAATAATAATTAATGCAGTGCCCCAGCAGAGCCAAGGTCAGTATCGTAGCCTTCACAATACCGCAGTGACAAAAATCAGCACCGCAATACTTAAATTTTGGGAATTTAAGTGTTGGAGCACTGAGCTTCACTACGCTACAGCACATGATTGCACATTCAAGTGTTGTAGCTCTCAACTTTGGTAATACCGCAATAGATCAGTTGACAAAAGATGGAGCCTCACCGTTTCAATTAAGCGACTTATCAGTTCAACCATTAGACATGCTGAGTCATCGCAACACCGTAGTGGAGCAAGCCCACTAGCGCGCGCCGAGGCGCTAGTTCGTTCTATAACACTACAATGCCACCATGTGAAGCGTCGCGATGCCTAAGTCCATTTTTGTACAAATATAAATAGTTTTTCAGTTCATTTTAGAAGAGAGATCTATCAGTTTTTCTATCTAAATTAATCCAAAATGTAGTGCCCGTTTAGGGTAAAGATTAAAGGAGGCTAGATGAGAGAATGATACTATATTAGGAAATTGTTAACTTGTCTCTTTGTAAGCAATCTGGTATTTGGAGAAGTGTGTAGAGTGCCTTTATATTATCCAGATGACAGATGAAATATTCTTTACTTTTGCATTTTTCCTTTTATTTAAGCAATGAAATCTGATTTGCTTTCTTTACATATCATGTTGAGCTAATTCCATAGTTTTGGACTAATTATATGAATGTAATGTTAGTACTAATATAGACTCTAGTGCTTTGAATGAGAAATGAATATCTTCAATATCTCTTGAACTTAATTTAAAGCATACAATAGTCATGTGTGTACTTATAAACTAGTGTGATATTTACTTCGATGAAAGAATATTGGAATAAATAGAAGTATTGGATTGGAATATTTGCATACCTAGACGTAGGACATTTAACCTTCTAAGAACTATAGTGATATGGATAAAATAGATGTATTAGCCACTGATTCATTATAGCATTTCTTCAGATAAATTCATATAGCTAATATATTAACTACCTAAAATGATAGAATAATATTATACCATCAACTTGAAAAGAAAAATAATTTATTTTCATAATCAAACTCATTATAAGAATGTAAAATTCATCTGGAAGGATAAAGTTTTAATTCTCCTATCATTTTTAAAATGAAACTAACCAAGGATTAGTTTAATTGGATTTACAACCATCCGTTGAACTTTCAGCAAATGATGTTATGACAGCCCTCAAAGGTGACGAAAGCATCTATTAGACACCAAAAGAATATGTCATTGATATTAAGGGAGCAGCCATTATCAATTATTCATGCCTTAATTATCTATTTAAGAATTAATGATGTTAATTAAGGATTTGAACACTAATGAGTCGTTAACATTTATTTTTTTTTTTGGGAAATTTTGGGGCCATGGCCCAAATTTTCATTGATGAATAAAAGATTACAAAACACCAAGAGTTCTACAAAATGACTACCATACATAAGCAAAAACAAAAACTTATGTAGGGTCAAATAAAACACCTCAAAGATAAAACCCAGCAAAACAGTAAAAGAAATACAATGTTGACAATAAAAAAGTAACACTTCTAACCAAATACGGCCACAATCAAAAGTTTGATTGAACCAGAAAGATAATGCATCTGTAGCACGAGAAGCCAAAACTCCGATCCAATCTTAGAGTAGAAGAAACCTTCCAGGTTGCACTGTAGCTTAGATTCCTGTTAAACATAAAAAAGACAGGGAGAGCAAAACTGCAGCAGGTTGCAGTTTCAATTGAATACCATAAAGCACCAGTTAATATTAAACCAGCTCCAATATACATTTAACTAGGACTCGGAGAAATAATAGAGGACCGAAGAGGTTTCCCCTGGTTGCCCAAAGACCATCCAAGGGGAATTTTTATGTTTTAAAAGGAGCTTCATCATTGTCCTGGTTAAAGAACCAGCCCACCAGCAATCTCCAGCTAACGAAGGGTCCTTGAGATTAGAAGTTCTCCAGCAGCTCATCAAAGTTTCTCCATTTACAAGCTCTGCTAAAAACCACTTTTTTCACAAAAAACTTAAGAGAAGAGGCACTTCGAACATCACTGCCAAATCTCCGATTATTCCTCTCCCTCCAGATATGATAGATTAAAGTGCAAACCGCCAATAAGTAGAAATTCAATGTGTTTTGAGA